CTCTAGCAGTACCTATGCATGGTTGAACGCTCAGTGCCTGCCTTCGCCTGTTCCCCGCACTCGTGGCGGTGGGCGAAAAAAGTATTATAACTATTTCGCGTCTATTCGGCAAGTGGCTTCGGACGGCGCTACTTGTTGACGACCGAGGGGGGTGCATCCCTTCGACTGGCCGCGCTAGATGGCGAAGCAAGGCGCACCATCTGTCTGCTGATCGGCCGTGCACGCGAGTCTTGAATCCTCACATCTTCTCGCCCGGGTGAAGACCAGGATGGACACTGTCAGAATCATTTTTTGTGTGAGACGGAGTCAAGGTCGAGGCTGGATGCCTTTAGGATTGTTTTGCTAGAAGCCGAACAATAATCTCGAGTTTGGCTGCAAACCTGCTTGCCAGTTCTGTTCGATCGGTGTCTCTCTCGCAGAGGATGGCCTTACATTGATTTGTAAAAATGTGGTGGGACACAACGACACATGCCACCGCTGGTCTCTCTCTCTCTCTCTCTCTATATATATTTCTCTTTTATTATATATATATATATATCTCTCTCGACTTCTCCTCCGCCGGTGGCCAGTGAGAGAAACAGCTCTTTCAGCTTCCTCTTCGTTCCGCCTGCTCTCATGTCCAGTGTGAAGCTTGTATTGACGATGCTTGGGGGAAGCGTTCCAGGCGTCTCTGGGAAATACATCCGTCTGGGTTCTGTCGCTGCAAGACCGCAGGTTCATCTGCTGAGGTGGAGCTTTGACACAGTCGATGCTGTCGAGCATGTTGGAACTGACCCCAGTAATTCCAAGCCAACAGGTGAGACCTTGGCGAGGTCGATGATGTGGTGGACGCTCACAGGGTGACTAGGCTAGTCATAAAACATCGGTTTTCGAGATTCGCTCTTCGATGACAGGCGCCCGTAGTTGGGCTAGCGTAGGTCCTGCCAGGCCAACGCGCAGCGTTGTGTTGACCGAACAGATTCACAGATCTCCAGGTGCATTCTTTTAGGAGTTCGGCCGATCTGACGGGCCAGGATTGCTGCTGGCTGTCTGAAGGCGCCACAGAAGGACTTCGGACGGCACCCCTTGTTCTTGGCATCGCTCGGACGTGTGCATTTTTTCCTCGGCGAGGACCAGGGAGGAGCATCCTGGATGCCTTAGCGAAAATAGCACGCACGAAATCGCAAAATACACGAGGAATTGGCGCCCGAGCGATGGCAAGTGTTGACGACCGAGGGGGGTTGCATCCTTTCTGCTCGAGCCAGCAGTATCCAGCTGCTGATCGACCGCGCACGTGAATACAGGATCATCGGGCCTTCTCGCCCAGGTGGAGCCAGGCTGAATGTTGATTAATGGAGAGGAAGCATGTCGCCAAATAATTTCCAGATGTCTACAAGTGTTTCAAACAGGTGTTAAACTTTTTAAAAACAAACATATTTGAAACATGTTTAGAACATGTTTGACACATTTTGAACACATCTTTAATTCAATGATAAGGTTGTGAGAGTGTCCATTGTCATGGCATCCACAAGAATGTTGACGCTTTCAGAGTCAATGTCTCGTGACAGACAAAACGAAACTTTTGGCCGGATGCCTCTGGCACTGCTTGACTGGAAGCGAGATGTTGGTTTGATTTTTGGCAGAAGGCCTTCTTGTGAGTTTTGTTCCATCACTGTCCTGGTGTCAGAGGATGGGCTCGCAGCGATTGGTAAACGTGCGGCGGGGGAACACTGGACACCTCTGAGGTTGGCGCCTGTAGTATGGTCCGCGGATCTGCTACAACACACCCTTGATCGAGCCCGCTTGGGAGACCGCGGATTTCGCTTCGCCAGCGCAGGCGCCGTGTCACTGCATGCATCTGATGGCGTGATTCTGAGTGGTCTGCCGCGCCGCTGGCCCCCTGTGTTTTTGTTGGGCCGCAGGGTGAGAGCAATGGCAGGTGCCTGTCGGGAAGCAGTTATGCTGAGAAGCGAAGATTCGACCGTCGTATGCTCGCACAGTCGTTATGCGAAGGGATAGCCGAATGTCGGTTCTGAGGGATGTTGTGGGGCGTCCTCGGGGTTTCTGGAGCTGTTCGTGCCAGTCATTGTTGAGCTTTTGAGGACCCGTCGTGCCTTTTGGAGTCTGTCGGGCGGTCTTAGGCTGGTTTTCGTCCGGCTGATGTCTTCGGAGGCTGCTTCCGAGAGTTCTCCGGGCTGTTTTGGGGCGTCTTGGACCAGCTTAAGGCCTTCTTGAGTCCTCTCGGCGCTCTGTTTTGGGTGTATTGGGTGGTGTACGACACCTGGAGGGCCGTGTTGGGATAGCAGAAATTCGGCCAGGCGAGGATGAGAAGGTCCCTGATTAGCCGAAGTGCGTTCAAAGAGTCTTCTTTCCCGGGGGCCCCCCTGGTAGGTCGCACGGAGCATTGGTTAGCCGTACTGGGGGCATGAGGGGGAGCGTTGCGGGGATGTTCGTCCGATTTCGGGCGATAATGGGCCGCCGTGCGCTGCCTGGAGATCATAGTAGGCCGTTTTATACTCTTCGCGTGCGCGCTCGGAGAGCGCGTCCGCTGTCTTCCACTCTATCTTGGGGGATGTTGGAGCAGCTGAGTCCCCCAGGGTAGTCTGGACCCCCGCGTAAGGCGTCACGCGCCGAGGAGCTCCAGGGGGGTCGTCGATGAAGGTCTCGGAGCGGGCCTCTCCGATGGCGCAGCGGTGCCAGAGCAGCGTCGCGCGCGGTCTCATGGAATCGCGACCCGCTCAGTAGGCCTGCGGGCCACGGGCCTTTTTCAGGAGGGGGAAAAACACACAGACACAATAAATCGTCGATCCCCCGGAAAATATGGGAAAATAGGGGAAGTGGGGGGGAAGGCGAACACCCAGAAAATCTGGAAGAATATGGGGAATCCTGTTATCTGTGTGTATTTATCTGTGTGTCCCAGGGCCCCTTGACTTTTTGGGGGCAGCTCGTCGTGCCCACGTCCTGAGCGCCCGGTGCCGAGCCTGCAGGCTCGTGCTCGAGCGAGAGGCGGGGCCCGGCCCGCCACCCGGAAGGGGCGGGGACGGGCCGGAGGCGAACGGGCCTTCCTTTGGGGGCCCCGGGGACCTCTGCCGCGGCGCGGCCTCTCGGGGGCTTCTGTGGGGGCCTCCCGGAAGCCTCCTGGAAGCCTCGGTGGGGGGGGGGCCTCCCGGGAGTCGTCTTCGGCCTCCCAGGGGCTTCTGCGGGGGCCTCCCGGAAGCCTCTTGGAAGCCTCGGTGGGGGGGGGCTCCCGGGAGTCGTCTTCGGCCTCCCAGGGGCTTCTCGGGGGCTTTTTTTTGGTGATCTCTTGGTGGCATCTTGGGCGCAGCTTCGGGGCCACTTCGGGGTCTCGGCGGCCATCCTTGAAAGAAGGGCTCCCGAGGCCCGTTCGACTTGTCATCTTGGGCCTCTCTTTGGGCCTTTTGGGGGGGCACCTTGGGCCATATTGGATGCCTCATCGGTCGTCTTGGAGCCCTATACGGCCGTCTTGGGGCTCTATTGAGTGCTTCTTGGGTCATCTTGGAGCCCTCATGGAGGCCTCTTCAGAAGTCTTTGAGCCACCTTGAAATTCTATGTAGCCTATTGGTCGGTCGGCCCTTCTTGAGGCAGACTTGGGACCCTCGTGGGCATTCTTGGGCGCCTCCTTGGGCCGTCTTGGGGCCCTCCTGGGCCGTCGTGGAGCTTCGGAAGCTCGAAACGGCGAGAACCCCAAACAAACCAACGCTTAGGGGAAATCATTCGTTTTTGCCTCTGGGGGTTAGGTATCGAGGGGGCCTCTTGGGGACCCCTCTTGGGCCTCCTGACCCCCCCTGGGTCGCACGCGGCTCGAATTGTCGGTTCGTGTTCACCCTTTAGGGCCTTTCTCGGGGCCCTCTTGGGCGCCCCTCTTGGGCCGTGTTGGAGCGTCGGAAGCTCGAAAAGGCGAGAACCCCAAGCACATGTTTAAAGCAAACGCTTAAGGAAATCACTGCTGGGCATCTTGGGGGCCTCTTTTGGGCCTCCTGAGCTTTTGGGGCGGGCGGCTCGAATTGTCGGTTTGTATTTACCCTCTAGGGCCCTTCTTGGGGCCGTCTTTGGGGCTCCTTTGGGCATTCTTCGTTGCCTCTTGGGCCGTCCTGGAGCCCTCTTGGACCGTTCTAGAGCGTCGGAAGCTCGGAAATGCGAGAACCCTAAAAACAACTAAAGCATGCTTCGGGAAATCACTGTTTTTTGCCTCTCGGGACCCTTGGGGCTTTCTTGGGGGCCTCTTGAGCCCTCTTGGGGCGGAAGATTCATTGTCGGTTCGTGTTTACCCTGTAGGGCCTTTGCTGGGGCCGTTTTGCTGCCCTCTTGGGCGCCTCCTTGGGCCGTCTTGGAGCCCTCTTGGGCCGTCTCGGGGCCCTCTGAAGGGGTCTGTTCGCCTTGGGGTAGTCCTGGTCGAGCCACCATGGGACCGTCTTGGGTGATTTTGAAGCCATCTCCAGCCGTCTTGGGACCTCTCGGAGCCCTCTGGGAATTACTGTGAAGGACTTACGGCCGGTGCCACCGATCCAGAAAGACGACGAGGACGACTACCACGACGACCACGACGACAACGACAACGACGAGCTGATGACCCTGCCACAAGCTCGGGACACGGGGCGGGCGGTGGAGGAAGGAGGAGGAGGAGGAGGAGGACGAGGGGGAGGAGGCGGAAGCCATCTCGGGCCGTCTTGGGGCCGTTTGGGAACAACTTGGGGCCGTTTGGGATCATTTCTGGAGCAGATGACCCCCCCCAGCACTTGCGGCCAGACTCGGCCGACCCCCCACCTTCCTTCCGGCCAGACTGGGGTCCGGGAGAGGGATTTGGAGAAGGGCAATTAGACATGCCGAGGGAGCCCCAAGGGGTCTGCGAATTTTGCTCGTCGCACGTCGTCCCAATCGCTGGTCAGATTGGTATGTCTATCTGCGCTTCCTCGCACGAGCTGGTCGGGATTTCTGAATCTGAAAGTCGCACACGAGTGCCATGTCTGGTTCGTTCGGATCGCCTCCTACCGCTACCCGAGGGCTGGGAGTCCTGCAACAACTCCGAGCTCGTGGCCTTCCATCCGTTCAAGGAGGCTCCGCGGAGCAGGGCGCAGGGGCGGCGCAGCCGAACCGCCGGGCGGGCCTAACCCGAACGCGAGCATCGAGTGGGGGACGTGCGCACGACGCCGATGCCCAGTGGGAGCGAGGTTCGGTGCATGTGCGTGTGTCTGTGTGTGTGTGTGAACGCGCCCGCGCCCCCATCCTTCTCGCCGCTCGCTCTCGCCATCTCCTGGTCTCTTGGCCCCCTGTCTGCCACTGCTGCCCGCTTTCGCCTGCCAGTTCCCTGCTCAGGCTCTGCTTTACCGCCCCGACGCAGAGCGAGGGGCTGCCGAGGGTCAAGTGCGTGCATGTGTGTGTGTGTGCATGTGTGTGTGTGTGTGTGTGTGTGTGTGTGTGTGTGTGTGTGTGTGTGTGTGTGTGTGTGTGTGTGTGTGTGTGTGTGTGTGTGTGTGTGTGTGTGTGTGTGTGTGTGTGTGTGTGTGTGTGTGTGTGTGTGTGGTGTGTGTGTGTGTGTGTGTGTGTGTGTGTGTGTGTGTGTGTGTGTGTGTGTGTGTGTGTGTGTGTGTGTGTGTGTGTGTGTGTGTGTGTGTGTGTGTGTGTGTGTGTGTGTGTGTGTGTGTGTGTGTGTGTGTGTGTGTGTGTGTGTGTGTGTGTGTGTGTGTGTGTGTGTGTGTGTGTGTGTGTGTGCGCGAGACTGCTCTTGGCTGCGCCTGTCAGAGGAAGCGGAGGACGGGGGAGCTGTGTGTGCGTGCGTGCGTGCGTGCGTGCGTGCGTGCGTGCGTGCGTGCCCGCGCGCGTGTGTGTGTGTTTGTGTGTGTGTGTGTGTCTCTCTCTCTCTCTCTCTCTCTCTGGGTGTGCATGCGTAATTATGTGCGTTCGTGTGTGCGTGCTTGTGTGCCTGTGCGTGTTTCCTGTTTCCACGTGCAGTCTCGCTTGTTCCTCTCGCCCATCTGCTCTGGCACGGTGTCTCCGAGCGCCTGCCCCAACGTAAACGTGGATTTTGCAACTCACTCTCAGCGCGCCCCGCTCGGATTCCACCCACGGGCGCCCTCTCAGCACGGCGTCCGAGGGGGCGTCGGAGGAGGAACGAGTACGCCTGGCAGCCTCCCTCCCGGTCCCCCGCGCGGCCACCTGGCTCCTCGGGGCTCATGCTCCGCCCCACGTCGCCGCCGCGGCGGCGAGGCGCCCCGAGGGACGGGGGGGGGGGGCCCGAGGTGTTTCGGCGCTGTCGGGCGCTCGGGGGGCCCTGCCCCCAGGCCCTCGGGACCACTCGGGAAGACCTGGCTCCGCTCGGACGTGTGGATCTCTCCTCGGCGAGCACCATGGAGGAGCATCTAGGATCGTGTAGTCTTTTTTGTGTCAAGAGAACAAAAAAGAAAACACGCACGAGACCGAAACAGGCACGGGGGACGGACGCCCGCGCGATGGCAGGCAGCAGCGCTGGCCCTTTTGGGGCAGGCCCCGTGGCCCAGGGCCCGCTTCCTTCATTGGTCGAGCGTGCGACAGGGCGCTCCTCTGCAAGGCTTGCCTCGCCCCTGGCATCGCTCGGACGTGTGTATTTTTTTCTCGGCGAGGACCCTTGAGGAACATCCTGGACCATCGAGCGACAAAAACACGCACGAAGCCGAAACATGCACGGGACATGGACGTCCGAGCGACGGCAAGCGCCACGCTCGGGGCACGGCGCCGCGCCCCCCCCCACGGCACGGTCCTCTTCTCTCCTCCTCCTCGCGTCCGCCGCCCTTGCCTGGCTCGCCTGCTCGCGCTCGGCCCGACGGCTCTGCCTCGCTCTTGCTCGCGGCATCCCCTCCGGCTGCGCCTCGCCGCCGCCCTCCTCCGGCGCCGGCTCTCGCCGCGCCGCGGCTCGAGCTGGCCCCGGGGCGGTGGGGCGCCTCGCCGTGGCCCTCTCCGGGCGTTTCGGGCGTCCCTGGCCCTGGGCATGCCGTCCTCTCTGTGCTGCCCCTCCCCTCGCTGTCGCCCCGGCTGGGGCAGGGGGCAGGAGAAGCGCTGGATGGAGTGCCTGGGCAACGCGGACAGGAAAGGCCCTCCGCCTCCGACGACCACCACGTCGACAACTGTCAGCGGGGAGGGTGAACGCGAGGAGCGAGCATACTTGAAGGAGGTGGCCGAGGAAGGAGGACTTTATGCCGTTGGGCACATCTCGTATGTAGAATTCCATCGCGTTCGTCGCCGTCTGTCGTCACATATATTTTGTTGTTTGAGCTAGGGTCTGAGATTATCTGGGCGACTCTGTATCTATCAGCTTCTCCCGGATGCATGCGGTTATGCGTGCGTAACTATTTGCATGCCATCGGTCGTTCATAATTATGTGCATGCCCGCATGCTCGTGCTCTTACGCACCTGCATGCTTTTACATGTTGCTCTCCTCCACATCATTGAAGCAACAGCTTGTCTGGCACAGGCGGGGCGCGCAAGTTCTTGTTCGCATGCGTGCTTCTGACAAATGAGCTCGGGCAAACCCCAGGCCCTCCTGGGCACGGGGCGGGCAAGAGCGAGCCCGTGGGAAAAGGACAATCGAGCGACACGCAACTGGCCCAGCAACGTCCAGCACGGTCGGCAGGACGGCGGCGGCGGCAGAGGCTCCCTCCGGCGGAAGTGCAGCGATGGGAAGAACGAGGAAGACGAGAAGACCACGACGTGGCGACAAGAGCAGGCCGAAGCCGAGGAAGGCGAGGGTGACGAGCGACAACGAACGCCGAGCGGGGGACCGCTTACCAGCCCCGAGGGGGCACGCCGCCACGCGTCGCATCTAGCAAGCTGGGAACCGAGTCGGGGCGAATGGGGATGCGAGAGCAAGGGGGCACGACAACGACAACGACGGAAGGGGATACGAGGGCAGCCGATGGCTGCGCGCGACGCCTGGCACGCCGGGAAGAGCGCAGAGACGAGCGGTGGCAACCGTCAACAGCGAGGCGAGCGCTCCAGGGTTCGCTGAGCGCGTTCCACTACTCGCAAAAGCCAGAAAAACACCTGTCTGCGTTGCTGCAATTTATGGTAGATCCCCAGCGGGGGATCCAGGCCATTTGCCAGCAGCTGCTTTGCGAGTAGTGGAACGCGCTCGTCGAAGGGTGCAGCGCTGCCTCGAGAGGGCCGTCCAGCCCCAGGGCGATGCGGGCGCGAGGGGGCGGCACAGCCAGGCCGCGCGAGGCCCCCGCGGCGGCAGAGGGCGGCCGCCGAGGGGGGGCGGGGGCCTCGATCCGCCGCAGGGGGGGAGAGCAGCAGCGGCAGGGAGAAGCGGGGCGCGGAGGGCGGGCGGAGGAGGAGGAGGAGGACGAGGACGAGGAGGAGGAGGAGGAGGAGGAGGAGGAGGAGGAGGAGGAGGACAAGGACGAGGACGAGGACGAGGAGGAGAGGAGGAGGAGGACGAGAGGAGGAGGAGGACGAGGAGGAGGAGGAGGAGGAGGAGGGGGAGCCAGAGAGTCGGCGCTGGCTCGTGCCGCCGAGCGGGCGGACGGACTGCGGTGCTCGCGGCGGCCAGAGAGGGTGCTCTGGGTGCTCGCGGCGGGCGCCCTCGGGCTGCCAGGCCGGGCGGAGCAAGGAGGGGGGGGGGGGCAGCGGCAGAGCCGGCGGAGAGCAGGGCGGGAGCCGAGAGGCAGCGGCGAGAGGAGGCCGCGGCAGAAGGAGAGGCGTGGGCGAGCCTGCGCGCCAAGCTCCGCCGCCCAGAGGCGAGGCAGGTCGCGCCAGCGTGCCCCCGGGGGAGCAGCCCAAGAGGTCCTTCCTGGAGCCGCTGCGCCCGCTGCGTGCAGACGCGCCCGCACACGCGTGGCCTCCCGCCGGCGAAGTGGCGCCACTGTCGCGAGAGCACGACAGGGGTGCTCCCGAGCGAATTGCACCCAGTGGTTCGGATGGAGCGCGCGCGCACACAGACTTTTGCCACTGCTGCCCTGAAGTCCTTGCTCGTCGGACGGACGACGAGGGCCAAGCTGAATGCCCCCCCTCCCTTCCCTTGTAGATTCGGCTGCATTCACGTCAGGGCCCTTTGACACCAAAGGGAGTTCGACAGGCGCCAGGCTCGGCGCGTCCTGGACGTCTGCTCGGGACCGCTGGGCATGACGCTAACGCAGAAGGGACCACCTGCTGACAGGGCGAAACACCTACTCGGGCGCGTGGATGGGCGTCGACGCGGTCGGGCGTTCTTGGGAGTCCTTGGAGCACTCTTGGTATTTGCCCACGTATGATTTTCATGCAGTCAACGCGCCTGGTAAAGACGCGCGCCTTCATCTAGGGTGCCCTTGTGTACTTGCCTCTGCGGCCCGTCCTTTGCCTTCTTCACTGGCCAGCCTCTCTCAACTTCGGCCTCCAAGGGTCTTGCGTCCTGACCACCCGTCCTTACTACACATTTTGACTGCATTCTGCCGTGATCGAAAAGATCGCCCAGTGTTTGACAGGCTGGCGCGGCGTAGATCGGAGGTGCCCCGTCATGCTCGCGGAGCCTGGTACACAACGTGACGGGGGCGTGGCTGTACCAGCAGGGGCAAGGCAACCTGGGGCTTCTGCGGTCGGACCGAGGTACAAGATCGAGGTCGGCTCCGGGGGGGGTACCTTCATGTTCTTCGTGTTTGTTGGGTGGTCTTGTGCATCCTGGGGGAGGGCACCCTCGAATGTTCTTCAGTTTGGGCCAGCGGAGGGTCTCATGTTCTTGAAGGATGTTGTTCTGTCCTAGGTCCGACTGTATTTCCAAATCGATTTTACAAGTATATAACGGGAAGGCGGTTCGAAAGCGGCCAATCGAGTGGAGCTTCCGCGCAAAGTAGGTTCGAACCAGGTCCGACAGTCGGTTCGACACAAGAGACGTCGGTTTGACGCAATAGACAAATGAGTGCTTGGTGCGGGACTCTCTCGAACATATTGTTCGAATTTGGTTCGAACGTGCGGTGCTTCATCAAATATATGATTCGGAACCCGGTTCGGTGTCGATTCGGAACAATAGAGAAGCGAGCGTTTTGTGCGGGATTTCCTCGAGAAGATGATTTGGAAACCGGGTTTGAAGTCGTTTCGAAACAAAAGGACAGCGAGAGTTTCGCGAAAGATTTCCTCGAAACTATGATTTGGAGCTTGGCTCGTAACAAGTTCGAAACCAGCGAAGCAAGAGCGACGTACATGGTTACAGCATCGGGCCAAGCTTTCACCATGTGGAAAGGTGCCTGGGCCTGATGAGGCCTCGCACCGAGTAGTATAATTTGAGATGCAGGGTGGGGCTTGGGCAAAGAGGCTGCGTGGGAACACCATGGAAAACGCACAGGCCAGATGTGGGTGGGGCCGGCAGGGCCCGGCAGGGCCTGATCCGGAGCGGAGGAGAGCGTAGCTCTCATGAGATTCGTGCTTGCGGCTCCCCGCGCCATGCGGTTCTCTTGACCGATCTCCCGCCCCGGACCGAGCGCCCCAAGCCTCCACGGGACTCGGCAGGGGGGCTCCCAAAACGACGGCTCCTCGCAGCGCAGCGCAGCGCAGCGCAGCGCCGTGCAGCGCGCTGCAGCGCGCTGCGGTGCCGCGCGGCCTTGCCTCTGCGGCGACGGCCTGTCCGTGCCGGGCCCGGCCAGCCGCGTCCGCGCGCGGCCCTCCTGCGCAGGGCCCCCCCGCGGCCGCCGCACGCCGCGGGCCCGGGCGCCCCCGCCCGAGGTCACGACCTCGACCACGAGCTCCACCACGCGCACGGCCCCGGAGGGGGGGGCGGGCGGGCGGGCGGGGTCGTGGGGGGGCTTCTCCTCCTCCTCCTCCTCCTCCTCCTCCTCCTCCTCCTTCTCCTCCTCCTCCTCCTCCTCCTCCTCCTCCTCCTCCTCCTCCTCCTCCTCCTCCTCCTCCTCCTCCTCCTCCTCCTCCTCCTCCTCCTCCTCCTCCTCCTCCAGGGGGGGCGGGCGAGACGTGTGAGGGACCCTTCGCCAGAGAGGCCCTGGGTGCCGGCGGGCCCCCACTGGGGCCCCCACTGGTCGCCAAAGGCGATGCGACAGCAGCGTCTTGCGCGCCTCTGTGTGTGGTTCCCCCGTGGCCCCCCCAAAAAGCCGCGCACCGAAGGTCCGGCGGGACGACGGAATTTTGCAAGTTGCTCCTGACCGCGTGCGGCTGCACCTACCTTGCGGCGCCACCTCGACGAGCAGTCCCCGCCCCCTACATTTCAATGTTGGCACCAAGCGAGCACCCAAAGTCCGGGTGGACAAAATAATTCAAGTCAACATTGAAATGTTGGGATGGGGGGTCCTTTATACCGCTGCATCACTACGAAATTGATTTACCCAAGAATTGAAACGCCAAGTAAAATTTTACTTGATTTTCTGTAATTGCGCGGGTCATAGGGGGGTAGGCTGAGTGGACGGGTGCAGGGGCATTCCAATGTTCGACCCGTACGACACTGCGATAATGATACACACGCCCAGCATGCGTAGCCAGTTCGGGGTCGGCTTCTGTTTTGCGTTGTCGGCCCTCGCCGCGCTCCCAGCTACAGGCCGCATGCATCGCCACCACTGGTGCGCGGGTCGTGGAGCAGGACAAGAACTGCGAAAGGCGACTCAAGGGTGGGCGAATCCTACCCACCCGCAATGTCACGGAATCTGCGCCGCAGGTTCTGAATTGCAAGTGGCGGGGCCCGCCCACAGACAACGTGAAACGCGACCGCGACGGACGCGGTCGCCCACCGTGCAATCAAAGGTGGTGCCACCAGGAAAGTTGGCCCACTAACGCGGTTAAGGCGCCCCAAGCCATAAGACGTCAAGCCATCATCCTTTCCCGGCATCCTTGGCTGCTGCCTCGGCCGTCCAAGGGTGCCCTTGGCGGCGCATTCATCCTTGCCGTTTGGGGTTGAAGCCCGTTGCACGGCGGCGTCGCAGGGATGGGGGAGGCAAGGGTACCCTTGGGGATCCCTCCGTATCCTTGCCCATGTTCTCGTTTGGGCGGGCGCATCCCCGCGCGTTTCTTGCCGCGTAATGGCGTTGCACGGCCCCTTGGGCATCCTTGCAGATTTTTGGGTTGTCGCCTTCTCCCCGATCTTGGGTCAGTTTTGACCCGGCAACGGTATATCTTCATGTTCCCCACGCCCCCTTCTTCGCCTCCCCCCTCCTCCCCCGCGGGAGCTTGTCACCCGCTGCTCTTCTGAGGCGCCCTTGGCCCATGATGGCATCCAGATTCAAAAATGCACCATTGGTTTTCCTCAAGCGATTTCCGTGGTGACACGTGTCACCTGCTTTTCTTCTGGAGATTCCCTGGCTCATGTTGGCGCCGAGAATCAAACGATTACGTTTGGTTTTCTCCAAGCGGTTTCCGCGGTGACACGTATCGCCCGTTGCTTTTCAGAGGCTTCCTTGGATCATGGCGGCGTCCAGAATCAAAAATGCACCGTTGGCTATCTCTAGCGGTTTCCTCGGTGACACGTGTCACGAGTTGCCTTTCTGATGCTTCCTTGGTTCATGTTGGCGCCCAGTCAAAAATGCACAGTTGGTTTTCTCCACGGGGCTTCCGCCGTGGCACGTGCCATCCAGACGGTCACATCCAGTTCGTCGTTTGATGTCGCGTTTGCCTGTCATACCTGTTCTCCCGTGACACTTTTCCACGCTAGTCGGCGGCGTGCGGTTAACAGCTTTTCAGTAAGTAACATTTGTCGATGTTCCTGTTCCCTGCTCCTCCCCTTCCGCCAGCGAGCAGCTCACCAGAAGAGATCTTATAACAAATTGTGTGTGCATGCTTTCCACGCCACGCTACCCCAGCCCATGTCGTACTCAACGGGATCCTGCCCTCCATTTTCGCTGGAGGCACTAGGTTCTATTACATCCAATTTTAGTTAGACACTACGCTGGCTTCGTTTTTTTGCATATTTAGAGCGTTGAAAATCTACTCTGCACTAACGTGCCTTACCGCGCCCTTTCCAACCCCTACTCCTACACATGCTGTGATCAAGGTCAACCGCATCTCTGCAACTATCCTGCGCCGTACGATTCGTAGCATTAGCGTGGTCCGCAAACCTACCCCGCAGCTCATCCCACCTCACCCTGGCATATTCAAACGCCAGCCAGACGCTATCCACATGTAGCGGTGGTGCAAAGGGCGGCAAGACCGAGTTCGACGCGGGCGTCTCCTCAGGGTTCGACGCGTAGATTTCGTAACACACGCGGCCGCCATGGCGGCGTCCACGACGCAAATGTCACCGCGGTAGCACAGCGCAACTCAACGCCCAATCCGCATGCGCAGACCACGTGCACATTTCCTGCCCAATCTATCCAACGCCCGCTCCCCCCATCAGGCTTTGCTCTACACGGGCTCCTGCAATTAATCACAACTCTTGTGTACCAGTGCACTATACCTCCTTACCTTGTCCAATGCACAGCCAGCGCTGCTCTTCTTCGTTTGCCGCGACTGTTAAGGCGTCGTTGCTATTTTGATGTGGATCGCCATATGCTTTAATGTATTCATCATACGCGAACTTTACGGCGCGCCTGCATCGCGCAATTTTAGCCCCCCCGCCGCTCCCCCTCCCGCCCCTACCGCCACCCCTCATCCCACCCGACCCCGCTCCATCGCGACCCCGCTCTGTTCGCGCCCCCCCCCCCCCCGCGCCCGCGCGCAGCGCCCGTGCACAGCAGCGCCCGCGCGTGGCATCCGTGCGCGAATGTCCATGCGCCACGTCGGTGTGCCACGCGCGCGCGCGACGCCTACGCACAAGTCCCGCGCGCCGCGTCCGCGCCACAACGCTGCGCCCTTCCCATGGTTCATGGCCACTTATGGAATTGCACCCAAGGCCCCAGTAGAGACGCTTACATGCGTCCGCGCCGCGCATCATGCCGCGCCCTCGCACGGACCGTGGCCACTTAGGGGGTTCCATCTGAGCCCCCTGTGGCGACGTGGACATGCGTCCGCGCCACCGATTACGGCGCGCCCCATCGCGCGGTTCGCGGCCCCACACGGTGCTCCACTTAAAGCGCCCGCGGCGACGGTCGCACGCTCCTGGGCCACCCATCGCGGCGCGCCCTCGCGCGGTTCGTGGCCCCAGAAGGATCTCAACGAAAAGCTGCCCAACCATTGCGACGCTCTCCATCACGCGGCCCGTCGCCTCAGAAAGAGTTCCACCCAAGGCCCCAGTGGCGAAGTTCGCACGCGCGCGCAACCCATTGCGGCGCACCCCTCGCACGGTCCGTGGCTGCATCGGGGTTTTCACTTGAGACGGCGTCGTACAAGCGCCCGTGCCGCCCATTGCGGCACGCCCCATCACGCGGCCCGTGGCCACATGAGGAGCTCCACATAAAGTCCAAATGGCGACCTTTGCCCGCGCCATTCGCGGGCCCATATGGAGCTCCAAGCGACGTGTACTGCGTTTGGCCGCCTATGACGGCACGTGCACGCGCGGTTGCGCCGCCCATGGCGCTTGCGCCGCCCATGGCCCGCCCACCCGCCCAGAGACCCCCGCCCAGCTCCACCCCCGCCACCACCAACCCACCACGACCACCGCCACCCCCACGCACGCCCCCCCCCCCCCCACACACACCACCACCGCCACCACCAACCGTCAACCACCACCACACAAACACGACACACACACACACACGACCGGCACCACAGACACACACACACCACGCACCACACACATCACGGCGCATCTATCGCACGGTTCGTGGCCCCATAGGGAGCCCCACCGAACGCCCCAGTGACACGCGCATTTGCGCGTCCACAATCGCGGTCCTCGCCATTGCACACGATTGAGCTCATGCCCAAGATACAGTCGGAGTCCATTAGTAGGTCGGGCCTGCCAAATCAAGGGTACTCTCGTGTCCTGTGCATCGCGCTTCGTGTCCTCTGCATTCCCCGGGCAAGGGTGCCCTTTTCTCCTGTGCTTTCCGCGGGTGTCGGCGGCTTGGCCCGCGGCGTTCTGGGCGCGTCGCGCCTCGGGGAGGTCGCGGCCCTGGTCAAGGGTACCCTTGTGTCCTCTCAGATTTGGGGGTTCGGTTCGCTTCGATGTAAGATTGCGGTTTCAGCGCCGCGCCGCCGGCGCCGCGGCGAAGGGTATACTCTGCGATGTCCTCTGAGTGCGGCCGCACCGCCAGTGAACCAACGACGCGTTCTCTCGAGGTCGCCCCCGTTCAGCAGGGTACTCCTGTGTCCTGTACTTGCCCAGCCCTGCAAGTTCATTCATCGTCGCGTTCGGGCAGGTCGCGGGGCGCGCAAAGGATACCCTGCCGTCCTGTGCATTGGCTTCTCTTCGGCGGGCTCCTGGGAACAGCAGTGGAGGCGCGCTTTTGGCGGAGTCACGCGGGCGCTCAGCCTAAGTCTCATAGAGCGCTCTGTATTGTTCCGAATAGAGAAGACGCCGTGTTGGCTTGCAAGCTAGCGCGCGCGCGCGGACGCGCGCTGGCGCGCGCGTGAGGAGTTCTGTGTGGTCCACAACAGAAAAGCTACCATGTAATTCCAAAAACTGAATTTGAAATTTCTGTGGCCCTTTAAGGAGGCCGACGGACGCACCGACTTTCCATTGTGGACAATACAGAAGTCCCCACGCGCGCGCGCGTGAGGAGTTCTGTATTGTCCACAATACAAAGGCCGCCATGTAAGTCAAAAAGCTGGATTTGAAATTTCAGTGGCCCTTTAAGCAGGCCGACGGAAATGTCGACTTTTCTATTGTGGACAATACAGAAGTCCCCACGCGCGCGTGCGCGCGTGAGGAGTTCTGTATTGTCCAC